CATTCGCCAAAAAATGTTTCTTTGTTTTTCTATAAAAAAAAAATGAAATAAAGTTTCTTTACTTATGTTTTTAAGTAAATGTTTATTTTTACCATTTTACTGTTACAGTTGACAAAGTCCAAAAATACTTTTCTATTCATAAATTAAGTTTTATCAAAATGATTAATGGATTGCTAATCTTTGTTTTATTATACATTTACTTGTGACATAAAAGTATTATTTTAAAAAATGTAACTATCAAATTTATTGAGGTTGTAGTACAAATATTACCATTTAAGCCCTCAATATCTTTCAACTCTTTACGGTTAAGCTGTACTCGATTAAGTGTAGTGAGTTAACTGTAGGAGTGTAGTACGAAGATACGGCGGCAAAGGCTATTCTATAGTTTTATGGATATATCGCAAGATGTAAAGACAGGATTTTGATTCAGCTCCTGAGCATGATAAAAATATGTTGGAGGTTATAAAAGTTAAAAGATATGAACTGAACTAAATTTCCTACGATTGATGACAAATGATTCACTACTGTAGTTCACAAGATAGGTTAGAAATTTAATAAAAACGTGAAGCGTAGCGTAGCGATCATATTAAATTTCGAGGTAACATTTTTTAGACCACAAAAAAATAACGCTAAAGAATAAATAAGCTATTTCAGCAACTTATAAGATTTCTTTTTTGGACACCCTACATTAATGATATGACCGAATGGGGTTTGCCATATTATTAAAGATTGACGCTTAAACGATAATTCAGCACTATGCTGAATGGATACCTTTTTAGAGCCACGTTGTGTGTTTATGTATTCATTCATTTGATATTTCTATATTGTGTGGTTGCTAAATAAATAAATTCATTTACCAACGTTCGGGCAAAATACCGGACTGGATTGACTGATTCACAATCGCTGTGATTGTTTTTGGAGTGCGTGGCAGAGTTAAAAGGAACATATCTCGTGTAATCCCGTCTACACTTTCAGCATTAGTCCTAATACCCATTATCACTCCCGATATAGTATCTACATCTATGGTGCTGATAGAAAAGGATGCCGAACTGAATCTTTCATGTTTATAATACATCAGATCTGATAATGCGACCATCTGTTGTCCTAGCACATCAAAAAAATGACAGTTTACACGATCTGGATCACTCAGATGTTGGGATAAGAAAGCCTGCTTTCCCTTAAAATTAACCACATCATTTGTAATATTTTTTCACATTTCCTTTGGATGTTTTACATTTAGATTGATTTTTTGCTGGAAATAAGCCTTTTTCTCTGTGAATAATGCTTTAGTTACAATGAATTTGAGATCTTTGTAGTAAATAAGATCGCTTTCCAGCCTTGTGTAATGGTTCTTAGTGTATGTTTTGTCTCTTGAGTCCATCATATCTCTAATGGTTCTAGTTATCCACGGATAACTTTGATGTTTTATGAAAGTTTTCATGACAGATGCGTGAATATTGAAAATATGTAGAATGTAAGCATTAAAAGATATTAGAAACTCATTTACATCTTCACTATGTTATCTTTCCCGTAGAGTAGCATCTACCAGGGCACCAAAATCGTTCAAGTCAATATCCTTAATTGGCCTGAGAAGTATCCATTTTGGAAATGGTTTCGGTTTGCTCACAGGAAACTTAAACGACAAAAATGCATGGCGTCCAATATCAGGAATATAATCCACACACAAATCAAGAACTTCAATAGAGCTACAAATCAAATCTATTAACGTTTCTGTATCATTATTAAAATGTGTAGGCTGCCTAACATGTTGCTCAAGATTAGCACATTAAAGAAATGCGCTATGCCCACGGCGCTATCGACGCTCATCTAAAGCTGTCGTAATAGCGTACAGCTAAGAAAGCAATAAGCGGCACGCGAGAAGCAACTACAAACAGGTTCAACTTCAATATACAACGAGCCGTTTACTCACGCAACACTGACACTGTCCGTCGTCACTTATTCTAACTGCCTCACTGGATAAAAATTACATTTAAAATCACTCGTAGTTCACCAATCGTTTCACACCTTATCACTTAAGATTTATAATAAAAAAGATACTGTTTTGAAGGTTATACGGATGAATTTTATGATAAAATCCTGAAGATGAAACAGAATAAAACATTAAAATTTACATGTGCACACGTAACACGTCTGTTTACTATCGCGCTCCCCGCCCTCGTTTTATATGAAAATTGAACTCACAATATAATAGCATTGCTACTCATTCATAATTAACCTGTCCAACATAAGAAATTTAGATTATTATTACATTTCAGAGTTAGAGAGACCGCACTATCTAATTCTTATTTTAAATATTCTCTTCTTATAGTGTGAATTAAAACGAGAAGTAGAATTTAAGCCACGGCGCTAGAAAGACAGTACAATACGAGTAAAATGAGGAAGTATTTAAAAAATAAAAATTAGTTCTTGAAATCATACTAGATGTCACTCGCGATGTTTGAATTTTGTTTATGATATTCATTCAAATTTTGTTTCTGGCGTAATAAAAGTAAATTGAGTATCGAAAATTAATAAATATGACATCGTTTTGTGTTTCATATATTATCTAACTTTCAAATTTATTTTAATCGTAAGTTTAAGTTATTTATTATGTTACGTATAAAGGAAAGATGTTTGGTTGATACGTCAACATTAGTGATGCGCCAACTTATTGGTTGCACGTAACTTTCATCGGAATTCAGGTTTGGAATGAAGAACAAAAAGCGGAGCGCAGAATTGAGCTTGTATTTGTATGTGTCATTATGCATCCACAAAACGAATGATATTAATATAAATATCAAAATCAATTCAGTCTAGGCTGTTACTTGTGAAAGTCGAAAACTTTACCAATGGTTCGCAAAACTAAGGCGGAAGATCTTGTACTGACAAGAATCGGCAAGAAACTCAGCAAAGGCTACTTTTTTAATTTCAGCTATCGTATTATTATATTTGAGGGAACGTAACGACCTAACCCACACGACACCATCGCAGAGATTTTAAGAGAGCATGACTACTCTAGGTACTTAGTAAATAATATATTTCAATAAAATTGATTCCTAGAGTAGGTTGTGTCAGAAGTCAATCTATTATTAACAATATTATTTTAAGAACCAAAAAGCACATGCCAACCGTACGAATTAACTTAACACATGGCTTAACGTCCGCCGTCGACATGTAATATCAATAACAATAGTATAATAACGTACGTGTCTTTGTGATTTTGAAATTTAAAGTTATAACCTTGCTGTTCATTTAGAACAGACGTTTCTTGTTGATTGCTGAATGTTTATTAAGATGATTTACTTATATTCATAAGATTTAATAACTGATCACAGTTTTTTAAAGTCTTAATTTCGAAATCACAAGTTATTTGCACGTTAAAACGTTTGTGCAAAGTGTGCACAAACGTCTTTTTAGCCAAAAGTCATGTTGTTTTGTACAAATACCTAGTATATTTGATACATATCGGGTAAGTATTTAGATAATAAACGGATTTTTTATTAAAAATATTGTTGTAAGTTCAACAAACAACTAATAGCAATAAAACTAACTTACCTAGTTTTTATTGTTCTCAGAACTTTTGTTAAATATTATAATGAATAATTCCTAGACCTACTATGGCATAAGTATTTTATTTATAAAAACTATTTGGCGGTAATATTATTGTATACCGTAGCTAAATGCCACTTTTAATTATATCACAGCATTAACTCAATGAGGAAGTATTTAAAAAAGAAATTAGTTCCCGAAATCAAACTAGATGTCGTTACGGTACGTTTTTGATTTTTCCATGGCAACCTTTCCGGTTTTCTTTCAAGTTTAAGAGTAAATTAGTTTTCAAAACTCAATAAACAACTCATATTCTATTTGCACTTTTTCGTATTTGTATTGATATCTACGATTACAACTTTTCAAATTTTTTTTTTTAATATGTTAGTTAAAAGGAACGGAAATGACGGTCTTTGGTCCATTCGTTTCCTGCAAAAATCAACTTTTGCTAGAGTCGCTATCTATTGGAGGTGCCTTTTTAGCGCTTTCGTTTTTTTTTTAAATTCTTCAATAAATTTTAAAAAAAAACCTTTGTACTCACTTCCATTATGTTATTTACCATTTTCCTATAAACAAATAAAAAATAAATTTATTCAAAGATTACTTTGTATTAATCGAGTTGCGTTTGCATATCTCGAACTAATTAAATTTCAACTTGATATTAATTCGAGTTACCAGATCCATAACAACACAACACTTTATTTTTTTAAATACTTCCTCACATCATAGTCTGACAAAATTATAAAGCTGTACTGCCAAACGTTTAAAAGGATTAGGCAAAGTTTTTAATTTGGTAGAGTTATAGTGACATGAGAATCGTGCCGAAACTATCCAACCCTGCTTCTTTAGGTTCTTTAATATGAACACTTTTTATTGTAATAGTTATTAAATCATTGAAATTCGTCTAATACTCAAATTTTTTTTAACAGATAGTTTAAATGATAACAGTTAAGTATAGCAGCTGGTATTGAAGTGGATATGTAGCAAATTAGCCGTCAGTCTTAAGAGTAACATGATTATTGATATTTTGTCACAAATTAAACCATAAAAAGAATCTTATTTAACTTCTGCCAAATGCTATAATGTATGGAGTATAATTAATTATTCGTGGAAATAAATTGTTTACGGCAATTCCATGTATTTTTTTTACATAAATAAGTAGTAAAATTCGTAACACGGCCATGTCAAAAATCATACAACACCATCTATCGGTGACTAACGTAAACAAACAGTCTAACATGTATTTAAATAAGGCCAATGTATTAGCTACGCGTGTTTTAATATTTACTTACTTCTTTTGACTTTAGAGTTTAAATTATTTCAGCTGTCAAAGTTACATCGAATCTTTATCAATGTTTAGGCGTCGACTTTTTAACTAGTTAACCAAAGAACTGTCAACCGTCGACGCGATGATTCTACGTTAACGGTTGATTTAACTAGTCCGTTGATTCAACGCCCATCGCTAATTCTGAGTGACGTTTGTGTTTGTAGCACTTTTGTAAAAAAAAAGGAGTTTGTAGATTCTTAATATATAGATAAACGTAATTGAAATCTTGAATTATTGAATTTCAGTTCAAATATTAGTAATAGCTGAATTTTATAAATATATTATCAAAGAATAAATGTGATATTGACTGAAATAGTGTATTTAAATTTTTAAAGTACACTTAACAGCTAGCATGACTTCTCAAGCACTAGCTTCACTTACTGCTACTTACACTGATTCGGAGGGTGAGGAAAGCATAGTAGACGAACCTACACCCGAAAAAGAAGAAACAAAGGTATCACAATCGGTTCCTGTGAGCCCTAAAACAAACGATGAAAATAATAAGTCCGCCTCGGCGCCGCCGTCGCCTAAACGTCGGTTAGTATCGTATGTTGATGATACAATAGTCTCAGACGAGGAGCCTATGTCGCCCACAGCAGAGGACCAAGATGACATGCGTCGGCTGTCCATGGAGACGGACACTGACGAGGCTGTTCCGCGGTCTGATCCTGATGACTCCCAAGATGGTGTCACCATTCCACCGGAGCCTACAGGAAAATGCCCTAAGGAATTACAAGAAATCATTGCCAAATTTTATAGTCGAATGTTAAATGAAGGTTTGGATATGAATAGGATCATTCAGGACAAAAAGAATTTCAGAAACCCTAGTATATATGAGAAACTAATTGAGTTTTGTCATATAAATGAATTAGATACCAACTATCCTCCAGAAATATATGATCCCTTAAAATGGGGTAAAGAGTCATATTATGACGAGTTATCCCGTGTACAGAAAGTAGAAATGGATAGAAGAGAAAAAGAAAAGAAAGAAAAATTATCTAAAATTGACTTTCTTTCTGGTGTTGCTAAGAAACCTGAAAGTGATGAAGAGAAAAAAAGGAAATCAAAGTGGGATCAAGCTGCACCCAATGTAGCAGCTAAACCGACCATAAAGCAACCAGGATTGGTCCAACAACCTCTCACCAGCAATGTCACCGGCACCAAGAGCACAGTCATCTCTGCATTTGGTTCTTTACCTAAGAAACCAAAATTGTGACTTGGACACTAAATTTATTTTAAATAAATTAATATTCTCCTAATAAAAACTGTAATCTAAGATTATTAATATGAAATATCAGTCATAATAATCATATTGTGATTTTTTTCTCATCATCACTTAAAAGTAAGAATAATCAGTTATTGGCCAGAGTGTGATCAACAAAAGTTTTCGCACTTTTTCTGAAAATGTGACATATTAATGTCCCGGATTTATCTTCGGGGACACTGGGACAGACATCTGAAAAACAGGGTGTCCCATCCAAATCAGGACATTTAGTCGTGTTATGTATTGCAAATAAAGATGTTATTATAATGTTTACAAATTTATTATATTTTGATTTATTTTACATTCACAATGCTATACTGAAAATTATTCTTAAAACAAAATGCTTAAAAAATCCACTTGGTCGCTGGCACCTTGATATGGGAATGTTGCCTGAACATTGATGAGAATGTTCTGTAGTAGCGAAAAGTATTAAGAATAGGATACAGATTTATCAAACAAAGGACCTGAAGAATAACCACGTCATAAACTTCTAGAAGTGGGTTGTATTTTATTTACGAGAACAACTCCACTTATCAAATATTTCACAATACTAGACAGTACCTGTTTGAATTTTAGAAATAATTGAATCACTTTGTATTTTGCTAACTCCTCGTTTTCTACCCTACACTAAACTATTACAGTGCTATTAATTAACAAGGTTTAGCATCAGAGTAAATTTACGCTAAAATTGCAGTTTTACTACAAGTCCAAATTCATATTATACAGATAATAAGCAAACCTACTGCATTTTAGAGGTAAATATTATTCCTGTCCCAGATAACATGGCAACTTGCAGCAACTTTAAATCAAACTTTCTAGTTTCAGGGTGACAAACTTGCACTACCTTTGATACGGTAGTAATGATACTTGGGGCAAGTTTGATTTTCTTTGATTCTTAACCCAGTCATCATCCCTATTTTCTAATTTAAAAGTCTATCGCAATCATTTTGGAATTATTCAACTCGAGCACCCGAGTACCTGCTGGTTATTCGAGTCAGTACTTAGGAAAATTATCATTGCTTCAAGTATTGCGTAAAATTGTATGAAATAACTTATTAACAACTAATGATGAGATAGTTTTGCCCCTTATTCTGTAACTCTGGCATCTTCTGAGAACAACCGAAGTAAATTGTTCACAGAGGTCTATGAGCAAGCGGTCAACACGCGGTTCTAGTATTCTGTAAACCATTTGTAATAAACCTGCTGTGAGGTCAATCCGATAAAGCTTGTGTAGGCCGACTTAAAAGGATATGTTGCTCGACATAATACCACAGTCAATCTGTCGGATGTAAAAGTATTATTTAACGATGCTATAAAACAAATAATTCCCGATAAATGGAGGAATTGTGTCGAGCACGTAAAAAAGAAGAGGTGAAGATGAGCGGACTAGACCACCACATAAACAGAACTGTGGATAATTTTATTATAAAGTCTCAAGTTCTGATACTGAAAAATCAGATACAGATACATCACTCAATTACGAAATGCTTAATACATTTGCCATTTACTAATCAAGTGATGATATGGACGTCCTTTTTATAATTTGTTACAAAAAAAATATTTTGAAATAAAGTTGTATTCGACATGATCCATGGCGATCCGAAACAACTGATGTAAAACGCACAACGCACTGTACAGTGGTTAAACAATAAAAATATCAAATATCTAATGGATGAGAAATTAGCTTATAAACTTGTTATAAACCATAAATTATGACGAGAAGTATCTTTTAATGTAAATATATATGTACTATTTAAAAACTATTTCATATTTTATTAGGTTAAAAACTCAGAAAAAGAAATGAGATCGGCATTTATGAAATACTACGTGAATACAAAAGGTTTATTATAAACTAGCTGACCCGGTGAACTTCGTACCGCCTTATACCCGTTTTTTTATATCTTATATACAGACCGTGTCATGAATCGTGGAACACGTAAGAAATAGAATCATCCAATTTGGTGCAGTCGGAAGTATATAGGTAATTAAAGACAATAAAGAATTGAAATAGAATTTATTAATTTGAAGCGTGGCACTGCATAGTGCTTACAATCTTTTTTATATTTGGCTCAAATTTACTTGTAGCAACACATAAAACTGCTTCCAAACTTTCATTTGCAAGGCGGTTTCGATTTTTTGTTTTATTATAATTTAGAATTGAAAAAATTTGTTCACATATATAGGTAGAACCAAATAAGCTGGCACATTTCAGAGCGTTTATGCGCAACTCTTCGTAAATATTTTAATCAATGCAGCGGTAAAAGTTCAGCAAGTCTCCTTCGTTGAATTTGTTGCGTAAATCTTGGTCGTTTTGAATGTCGATAATCTCTAACTGCATTGACTGTGGCGCATTTTCAACTGAAATCGTGAAAGGATTGCTGAATATGTCTAACAGAGGTTTCACTTTATTAAACTCCGAAAATCTGTCTTGAAAAGATTGAATCAAAATATTTTGCTTTTCTACATAACTGAAAATAATCGCAGTTTTGTTGAATTTTTCAGCCATTTCTTATAATTCGGAAAATGATTGTAATTTCCAGAATTCAATTGTGATCTGAAAAGAGTCAGCTTCCATTGAAAAGATGATACATGAACGTAGAGCTGGGATATTAGTTGATTTCTGCCCTGAAGCCGTGTGTTCAAGACATTCAAATGATTTGTAATGTCAACTAAAAAAGCCAAATCACACAACCAGTCAGGATTTTTAAGTTCCGGGACATCCCTTTGCTTTTCCGCCAGAAATGTTCCAATTTCTTCTATTAAATTTAGAAATCGTTCCAGTGTCAATCCACGACTTAGCCACCTTACTTCTGTATAATACAGTAAATCTCCGTATTCGCTTTCGATTTCATCAAGGAATTGTTTGAATTGTCTGTGATTGAGCCCTCGTGATTTTTTAAAATTTACAGTCAAAACTACCACTTTCATGATATTTTGAAATTCATTTTTTTTTTTAGAACAGAGGGCATCTTGGTGTATAATGCAGTGAAACTGCATGAGATCTTCAGCGTTTATGACTGTTTTTTGCTTGCAGATGTTTTTTCAGCAAAGTAACTAAGCCCGGAATTAACACCAATCATCGAAGGAGCACCGTCAGTCGCAACTCTCGATAATTTTGATAAGTCCAAATCAGTTTTTAAAATTTCCCGAAACCGCGCTAGAAAATTCTTGATTTCTCTACTATTTTGAACTTTATATAAAGGCGGCAAGCGACTTAGTATTTTTGGACGCTAGATTCAAATAGCGCGCGCGCGAGATTCAGATTACTTTTCGAGCATATTTTTTTTTGGTTTTATTCTCGAATATAATTCAATATTTTTCGAATGTACGAGAGTATTATTTTTGCTGTCGGCGGGCCACCAGTATTCGACCGGCCGCATGCGGCCCGCGGGCCGCGGTATGTGGATCCATGTTATATAGGTACAGAGAAAGCGACTTCGTTTTATACTATGTTCGTTTTATTCGTAGCGAAAGTATCCATACGGTTTGTTCATTCTATCCATAACTAGCTGTGCCCGCAACTTCGTCTGCGTGGGAAGTATTTTGGTAGAATTATTTTATTCCTATGAATGAAGTCGAATCGAATAAGATCAATGGACCATAACCCACTATGCGGGCTTAATGCGGTTCGGTGGGTGTTAACGTTGCTGATGCAGCCAGGCCTAACGGCTTAACGTGCATTGTGTTGTGCATGTTTCGCGCTGTGGTTCTTGAGAATTATGAGGAAAACAATATTTTTAACACAAACACTTTATTCTAGAACATAATAATTGCAGAGTATATATAAATGGCGTCTTTCTGTGATATTACAAACAACAACTAAACGGCTTCTACCACAGAAATAAATCTAGTTAGAAGGAACATGTTCGTCGATTTATATGATGGAGACCGAGCGTGCCTCATTTTGTGTAGGTATCATGACGTCACGATCTTAATTTAGTGATGGAAGACATAATTTCACTTGCATCGAATACATGTTGTATTTGAAACGGCATACCGATTCTAATCGATTGAAAAAACACGAGACCAACGTGTACAGTCTATAAAGTCATGAAAATAATATTTGAGGAACTAACATTAGACACAAGTATGACAACACTGAATCAAAGTACATCGACTGTCAACAACTTGAATTTTTAGCTCGATTTTCTGCATTTTTGATTTGTTTTGATTAAACTGAAGCTACTTCTTCTAAACTCCGTAGAAAAGTGTTAAAAATGAAGAGAATTAATCAGAGTGAAGCTCAGGATATTATTTATAAAGTTTTTCAGTGATGTTTATTGGAACAAGAAGCTGGACACATTTTATCATATTTGTAGGATGTTAAAGCTCGAACGGCAGTTATGGCTGGTATGTAATCGTGTTACTGATTGAGTTTTGGTTACCAGAAGTTTCAAATTTACTGAATATATGAATTTAAGTCTAAAAGAAGTATTGATTACATTATGCATTTATAGGTTAGATTGAAAATGTTAGAAGGCTATATTGTAGTGCGACCCGAACTTTCAATACTTTTGGATAATCAAATTTATCATTGATTTTAATCTGAATAAAAAATATACCTGTTAGGAATGTACGATTTTTACCTACGTACGCCAATAAAAAGTGTGTGCTTTATATTACTAAAATTATAGCATTAATTTGATCATTGTGGCGATTCCATTCTTTTTGCCAAATACCTATAGGTATTACATTTTTAAAACTTACTTTCAGGAAAATCAGAGAATATAGTGATACGTATTGTAGATGAAGGTTATAAAAATGGTGGCATATTTGAAACCCCTGGGAAACATAGATAGTCGTCCTAAGAAATAAATGGTTAACTGCAACATTTGTGCACTTCAACAAAAGATTCAGTTCTTTTACTCTGTGAAAAAAATAGGTACCTACATGAAGAAAACATCAGTGGATTGCCAAAACCGATCTGGATTTTAATTGTAGCCTAGAAGTTCTGCGTTAAATTCTGAAATATATTGGGTTTTCTTACAAGGAGTGTCAAAGTAACAGGCTTTAATCGAACACAAGCACACATTGCAGTAAAACGAGAAAACAACTTGGCAATTATAAAAAAAAAGATTTATCAAAAATTACGATTACTATATTGTAATCTTCAATGTAGAATAAACTCATTGTCTACGAATTATACGCCTTTCTTTACCTTTTCTGGGGTAATAAAAGTAAAAAAAAAATCTTACTATCAAAATCATTTGTCTCACTACACAGGGTTGCTACGTGCACGATCGCAGCGCCCTCAATTCTTTTCATGACTTTATAGACAGACTACCATTTTGCTTAAATATTATGTATATGTCACGAACTCACGAATGTAATTTAGTGAATTATTATGCGATATAATTTTCTGTGGGCAAACACTTTGTAGTAGCCGCTACCCCCTCCCGACACGCTACACATTTTTACGTCCTGTGTTGTTATGTTATGTTTCACGGCGGGCTTTTCTGCAACTCGATACTCAGTGTCTATTTTGCATGACACGGGGTTGCTTTAGTCCTGCCACCCCAGCTCCTCCAGGAAGCCCGTAAGATCTCGAACTCTGCCGCATACTTCCACTAGTATCCTTGGGCTTCATAGATATGTAGTCCTTTTGTCTTAATAGGCTCCTACATTCCAGTATCACATGAGTGCACAAGCGCTTATGTGATACTGGAATGGAGACAGAGGAGACAATCTCCTCAGTCTCCATGCACGCCCTGCTCAGAGGACTGTCAGAATAACCCATGTTATATAGGTGTTTGTTAAAGTTTCCATGTCCAGTTAGTATACCTACTATTTGCCTTAGAGTCATGTTGCTTCAATCCATTTATTTTTAATATTAGGATCATACGGAAAACTAAAACAAAAATTACAGTATAATCTTATATATAAAAATGAATCGCAAAATGTGTTGGTAAGCGCATAACTCAACAACGCCTCGACCAATTTGGCCAAATCTTTTTTTAAAATGTTCGTTGAAGTTCAAGGATGATTTTTACGGCGAGAAAAATTAGAATTATTGCTGGAAAAACCCTAAAAATAGCCCTTTTCTTTTTCCCATACAAATGATTTGTAACTAAAACGTAGTCAATTTGAGCTCTATTGCTATGGTATAAAGTTCATATTAAATTACAAGCACTCACTGTTGTCTAAGCAATGTAGGTGTGTTCCTAACGTCAAAGAGTCAATTTGCACTTTATTACCACTATACAAAGTTGAAATTCAATAATATCAATACATTGTGCGTGTGTGCGTTGGAGCACAGAATACATCGTTGGAGGATTTAATGCCGCGTTCCGAAACTCAATTAAAGTAAATCATTAGTATTGATTTTCAATTTGGTCGGCTTTGTAATTATGATTCACATAATTAACAATAAAGCGATTACTTACTTTTAAATGCTTATAATATATATTTTATTTTATTATTTCTTATTCACCACGCCCTATCACCAGGGTGACGGTTCAGTTCAGTTCATGAGAATTTTTTGCCCCGACTATAAAATAAGTAGGAACAAAAAACTGCCACATTACAAATCTTTTTGACAGGACGAAGTCTGTCGGGTCCGCTAGTTCAATATAAAATTAATTATCCTTTCTTCTGCTTTCAAAAACGATATTTTTTTAATCGGATAAAAAAATCGCATTGTACAGCACTATTCTCCATTTTCGACAGAAAAAACGATAATTTGTCCTCCAACAAATTGACCTTGAATTATACATCGATGGTTTTACAAGCACAGCAAATTTGGACTGTCAAATTAAAGCCGCAATGGAAAGCTATTACTGGACACACGACCGTTTTGATAAAAATAATACGGAGCAACAAATTTAATGATTTTTAATTCAAAATAGATATATCAAGGCAAATAGTTACTTACTGATGGAAGGAAATACCTCGACTATAAGATCCAACCATATTGGTGGTGTTTGAGCAGGTAATTATCGAACAACGCATCATTTTAAAGTTCGTCCAACACCGATTGCGATCGAAAGTGGACTGAGCCTCGCGGCGAGCAATGAAGCTGTCTAGACGTCGTTTCGGCACGCGAAGTACGTACACTTTTTCCTTCTAACTAGATATATTTCTGTGGCTTCTACGGTGTTACAGATCATAGACAATGTGTTGCCAGCAACAGTGCACAGTGCCCAAGAAAATAATGTTTTGGTCACCTATCCTGTCCTTACGAATGTAATTTTTCTATCTTTTTTCTCGTTTCTCGCGCTCTGGTTGTCGCTTGTGTCTGAGAATTTTATTCGTACCTTGAAACTGTCCTTCTTTTGTTTTTGATCTTTTTAAATTATTATTATTTGTCTTGTTGTATGGTCAATCGGCTATTTATTGTTCTATTTTCTATGTAATGCTAGATTGCCTGGAAGAAAACGCTTGCTAGCGATGAGCTTGTCGTTTGTACTTAGTTATGTAAAATAAGTATTCATGTATGTTGTGCAGTATTTTACTTATTTATTTCACTGCGATTTAAACCGAATTCAGAGCAATTCCGACCTACGGGAAGCTACATCACGGATGTTATAGGCTATAATTTTGCGGCAAAGCGGCTAGCGGGAAAACAGCTAGTTCATTATGCATTGTGAAAACTTATCTGCGGTACGCCTGTGGAATATGAAGTCAACACGGGTTGACGATAATCGAAACTACTTTCTCGATTTCTATTGTACAAACTGCGAGCTCTTTCAGAGACCAAGCGCATTTCTCTATCAAAGGAAGTTTCATAATCATACCATACTGCATGTATATTACGATCAGCAGTTAGACGCGCTATGCGATCTTCAGAAGTTTCCTGAGATCAATCGCTTGTTGTATGAGTTCTCCGAGAGCTCAAGAGATTGTCCCTGACGGTAAATGCGTCAGATTCAACTTTATAGTGCATGAGCCTGGCGATGGGTAGTTAAATATGCTTCGCGTTTTTCAGGTGTCTCCCGAGACCGAGCGCTTTCCGTCCGATCTCTTTCTTTGTGGAGTTTTATTTATTGATATAAAAAAATATATACATATTTTAATTTCGACTTTCCACACTTGAAGGATATCGCCTACTAACACATACTTCCGAGAGGTGCTTAACTGAGCTTCCGTCAGATCATCAGCCCTTTTACGTCACCAACTGCTGGAGCCTTATGGATTAAGAATGATAGGCCATGACCCTCTATGCTGGCCCGATGCGAATTGGAGGATATTAACGACTGCAAATACAACCGGAATTACGTGCCT